AGAGATACTCATTACAGCAACACAAACATATCTAATATTGAACTCAGATGTGTGTGTGCCGGTGACCTGTTGAGACTATTCTGAGCTTTGCACGGCGCCATCCGTGTGAGCACCACCACCATTGGAAGGTTGCAGACCGTAAGTAGTGCGGGTGGTTCTTGGTAACCCTTTTCATACACAATGCTCTGCTACTTTAGAAGTCCCCACTCACTGACCGTAATGCAATAAGACATCTTTTTGGTAAAGCGATTTAGGAGGTTTAATCCTCAAACAAAATCACAAACGATCAGGTCACACTTCAAAACTGCTATTAATACACATATGCCGCACCCTGGCATATAAAAAAAATTAAACTGCTTGTGCTCCTGAGGACACGCGTGCCAAATACAGAACCTTCAGGGTAACGTGACAGACAGTATACTGTTGACATGGTAACCAGCTTCCCTTTCATTTTGCTGGGTAGGTCAGAAATCAAAAAGGAAACTTGTTGCCATTGACAACACAGACATTTCCTTTAAAGTACACCTAAAGGCTCCTGCATTGGTCTAAACCAGTGGCGGACCTATTGACATGGAAATGAAGGGCTAGTCCTTCCAATGCAGGAACCAGCAGGATTGTTTTTTTTATTTTTAGGAGCCAGCTCCATTAACAACTAGAGAAAACCTCAAAAGTAAGGAGACAGCTGTAATTTTTAGGGAGCATCGACTAACTGGCTCCTGGGATTTGTCCAGCCTCGGTCTAAACAAGTCACAACTCCAGTTACTATAATGCAGAAGCCTTACAGTAAGTGTCTAATACGCTCCCCCTCCTAAACACTGCAGCTCAAAGTGGGAGGGTTACAGCAGCAGAGGCAGTGCTGTCAACACAGAAAGCAGTGGGCGGGACTAAGTGTGGCCAGGTGCTGATTGACAGCTACAGGCTTGCAAGCCAGCAGTGACAATGCTAATAGCCAAGGCCCCTGCAACATTTTCTCATCTGTAGTGCAAGCAGCCACAACCTACATAAGAGTGACAACTCCACTCTGAATTCAGGAGCAATGCAGTATAGTTGCCACCCCCTCACAGGAAGCTGCATTAGGTGCACTTCACTGGCAGGATCAACAGGTATTTGTGGGACTTTGCAGGGGTACTGTGTGTGTACAGATTGACTTATAATCAAGTGTTGCAGCATTTATTTTAATGGGAGGCCATATTACTACTTTAAATTGTTTTTGTTATGCAATGACCACAAAGTCACATTTCTTACTGGGCTGTATTGTGGGGTGGGGGGG